TCACCCAGGTAAGCCCCCCTCACCTTCTGTCCTGCTCTCCAGCCCTGTCCCCTGCCCCACACCTCCTCTTGGTCAGCCCAGCAGGGGTGGGGGGGGGAGGCTGGACGGGACGGGGCGGGAGCTGGCACTGACCTCACCTGGCTCTGCAGGCGCGAGGCCACGACCCCTCAGCCCACGTGCTGGCTTGCTTTGGGGGAGCCGGTGGGCAGCATGCTTGCGCCATCGCCCGGGCCCTGGGCATGGACACTGTGCACATTCACAGGTGGGCCCGGGCAGGGGGTGGGGGGCACTGGCGGACATGGGGGGCGCCTCCCTCCCTGTACCGACATACCACCCCGCCTCTGCAGGCACAGCGGGCTGCTGTCGGCGCTGGGGCTGGCCCTGGCGGACGTGGTGCACGAGGCGCAGGAGCCCTGCTCCCTGCCCTACACGCCGGACACCTTCCTGCAGCTGGACCAGAGGCTGAGCCGGCTGGAGGAGCAGTGTGTGGAGGCCCTGCAGGCCCAGGGCTTCCCCAGGTGGGCCCTGGTGGCTCCTCCTATCACTCTTTGAGAAGGCAGGACAGGCATCCCGGGGGGGCCCTGGGTGGGCTGGGGCAGGCTCTGCCCTGAGTGCCCCTGCCTGCCCCCTGCCCGCCACAGGTCCCAGATCAGCACCGAGAGCTTCCTGCACCTGCGTTACCAGGGCACGGACTGCGCCCTCATGGTGGCTGCCCACCAGCACCCGCCCACCGCCCGCTCCCCCCGCGCCGGCGACTTCGGGGCAGCCTTCGTGGAGAGGTCCGTGAGCGTCACATCCGGGCAGCCTGGGGGTGGCCTGCCGGGCTGGCCACCCCGCCCTGACCATTGCCCTGGCCGGGGGTGCGCAGGTACCTGAGGGAATTCGGCTTTGTCATCCCCGAGCGACCGGTCATGGTGGACGACGTGCGGGTGAGGGGCACTGGCCGCAGCGGTCTTCATCTTGAGGATGCCCCCAAAGCCCAGACCGGGCCTCCCCGGGTGGACAAGGTTGGTGGCCCTGGCCTGCCCGCAGCCACGGCTTGGGGGACAGGGTGTGGGCTGGGAGACTCGGGGCCTCGCTCTCTTCGTGTTCCCTGCAGATGACCCAGTGCTATTTCGAGGGGGGCTATCAAGAGACCCCCGTGTACCTCCTCGGAGAGCTGGGCTATGGCCACAAGCTCCAGGGGCCCTGCCTCGTTATTGACAGCAACAGGTGGGCTGGGGCCTGGCCAGGTGGCCCCTGGGAGCGGTGAACCACGGGGCGCCTGGCTGGGGGTCTGAAGGACTAGGCCGGGGCTGTGGGGTCCCTGCCTGGGAAGGGGCCTGACCCCTTGTACCCTCTCTGTGCTCCCCGTCCCCAGCACCATCCTGGTGGAGCCAGGTTGCCAGGCAGAGGTGACCGAGAGAGGGGACATCCGCATCTCTGTGGGGGCCGAGGCCCCGAGCACAGTGGGCACCCAGCTCGACCCCATCCAGCTGTCCATCTTCTCTCACCGCTTCATGAGCATTGCTGGTGAGGGGCTGCCACCACCAGCACCGCCCTGGCTGCCCGCGGGGCAGGGCTCAGGGGTCGGAGTACCGGGCACAGGTGGCTGCAGGTAGTGCGGAGACCACACGGCATTGGTTCTTGTCATTTTGTTGCTCGTGGCAGGCCAGGGGGTGCAGTGGGAAAGTGACCAAGGGGCAGAAGCAGGATCTGGGCGGGCATGGGCAGGCATCAAGGCCTTGGCCGTGGGAGGGGCAGTGCCTGGCTCCTCTCACCGGGAGTTGTGATTTGCTGATAGCCATGACCTGTCTGTGCAGGCTCAGGCCAGGGGCTTCCTGGGAGCCCCAGGGTCCGTGCCCGAGAGTGACTCTCATGTGCCAAGCAGGACAGTGTCCGGGGGGGAGGGAGCAGGTTCTCCTGGGGCGGGAGGGGGTGGTGCCGCGGCTGCTCTGTGCCTGTGTGGACTTGCCTCCATCTTGCTGTCCCCCGGGCTCCTGGGCCTGGGCCTGGGGCACCTGGAGCGTGCGGTGGGTGGGGACGGCAGGCATCGGTCCCTCTGTGCCCCCAGAGCAGATGGGCCGCATCCTGCAGCGCACGGCCATCTCCACCAACATCAAGGAGCGCCTGGACTTCTCCTGCGCCCTCTTCGGGCCCGACGGAGGGCTGGTCTCCAACGCCCCCCACATCCCTGTGCACCTGGGCGCCATGCAGGAAACGGTGCAGTTCCAGGTGTGCGGGGCCCCTCCCCACCCCGCCCTGCTGCAGCCCTGCCTCCCTCTCCCCACCCCCAACGCTGCCTGGTTCCCTGGTTTCAGATCCAGCACCTGGGGGCTGACCTGCACCCCGGGGACGTGCTTCTGAGCAACCACCCCAGCGCAGGGGGCAGCCATCTGCCAGACCTCACCGTCATCACCCCGGTGAGAGGCGGGCCGGGCCACCTTTTGGGGGTGCGAGGGTGGCTGCCACAGCTGACGGGTGCTCCGCATGCCCCTAGGTGTTCTGGCCGGGTCAGACGCGGCCTGTGTTCTACGTGGCCAGCCGTGGGCACCACGCGGACATTGGGGGCATCACCCCGGGCTCCATGCCCCCACACTCCACCATGCTGCAGCAGGAAGGCGCCGTCTTCTTGTCCTTTAAGCTGGTCCAGGGGGGCGTCTTCCAGGAGGAGGGTGAGTGGGTGTGGGGCCCGGGTGGGGGCTCAGCTGGCTGGGACTCATGGCTGCTGCTGGCAGCTGGGCCGGGCTGGACACTGGCCCAGTCTGTCCCCAGGCTGCGAGTGGCGGCCCCGTGCAGTGGCTGGGACCCGTGCAGCCGCTGCCATCCTCTGAGTGGGTCAGAGGAGCTGAGACGAGTTCTGCCCGGCCCAGGAAGACTCCCAGAGGTGGTCTTGGGGAAGGGGAGGTGGTGGGTGGGGCTGACCAGGACACCGCAGGAGAGGACCCTGTTTCAAGTCAGGTGTGTGTAGCCAGCAGTGGGAGTGGCATCTGCAGAGAGCGGTGGAGCCAGGGGCAGGGGCTGCTCTCCGGCTTGGGTCTGCGTCTGCTCCCCACTGCCGGGGGCTGGGTGGCACAGGGCAGAGGCTTCACCAGGGATGTGGGGTGGCACAGCCCTGGCTGTGGGGCCAGCGTGAGCCTGGAGGCGCTGGGCAGGGAGGTGGCCTTGCTCTGGGAGAGGAGACCGGGGCCCCGAGAAGGCAGGAGGGGAGGAAGGAGAGCAATGTCGGCCACAAGGGACGCACTAGCAATGCTGCCTGCCCCCAGGCGTGGGGCTGGGGGAGGGGAGGCAGGAGGCTCCACACAAGGCTGGAGGTTGGGGCACCAGGGGCTTCCCGGGGGATGGAGCAGGGCGCCAGGCAGCCAGGGCTGGGGGCGGGGGCTCAGCCTGACCCCGTCCCGTCCCCGCCCCGCAGCGGTGACCGAGGCCCTGCGGGCGCCCGGCAAGATCTCTGGCTGCAGCGGAACCAGGAACCTGCACGACAACCTCTCGGATCTGCGGGCACAGGTGGCAGCCAACCAGAAGGGCATCCAGCTGGTGGGGGAGCTCATCGGGCAGTACGGCCTGGACGTGGTGCAGGCCTACATGGGCCACATCCAGGTGGGTGGGGGTCAGGCGCGGGGCGGCGCACGGGCGCGGGCCACTCTGACGCCCACCCTTCCTGCCGTCAGGCCAACGCCGAGCTGGCCGTCCGCGACATGCTGCGCGCCTTCGGAACCGCCCGCCAGGCGCGGGGTCTGCCTCTCGAGGTGTCGGCCGAGGACCACATGGACGACGGCTCCCCCATCCGCCTCCGCGTGCAGATCAACCTGAACCAGGTGGGCCGCCGGGGCGCGGGGAGGCTGCCCCGGGGGCGCTGGCGGAGGGCCGGCCGCTGACCGCCTCTCCTCGCCCGGCGGCGGCCAGGGCAGCGCCGTGTTTGACTTCAGCAGCACCGGGCCCGAGGTGTTCGGCAACCTGAACGCGCCGCGCGCCATAACGCTGTCGGCGCTCATCTACTGCCTGCGCTGCCTGGTGGGCCGCGACATCCCGCTCAACCAGGTGCGCGCGGGCGGGCGAGAGCGGGGCAGGGGGCTGCCCGGCCGCCGCCGCTCCCGGCCCTGAGCGCCGCCCGGCCCCGCACAGGGCTGCCTGGCGCCGGTGCGTGTGGTCATCCCTCCCGGCTCCATCCTGGACCCGTCCCCGGAGGCGGCCGTGGTGGGCGGCAACGTGCTCACGTCGCAGCGCGTGGTGGACGTCATCCTGGGGGCCTTCGGGGCCTGCGCCGCCTCCCAGGTGCGGCCGACGCTGGGCTCCCGGGGCGGGGCGGGGGCGCTTGGGGAGCGCGCGCGTGCGCGGCCGGTTGGGGAGGGGAGGTAGCGGCCGCCTGCCCCGCCAGGGCTGCATGAACAACGTGACCCTCGGCAACGCTCGCGTGGGCTACTACGAGACGGTGGCGGGCGGCGCGGGCGCCGGCCCCGGCTGGCACGGACGCAGCGGCGTGCACAGCCACATGACCAACACGCGCATCACCGACCCCGAGATCCTGGAGAGACGGTGAGCGGCGCGGCGCGGCGCGGCGCGGCGGGGGCCGGGGCCCGCGCCCGGCCGCGCGCTGAGCGCCTGGTCCGCGCAGGTACCCGGTCATCCTGCGCCGCTTTGAGCTGAGGCCGGGCTCTGGGGGCCGAGGCCGCTTCCGCGGCGGCGACGGCGTGGTCCGCGAGCTGCTCTTCCGCGAGGAGGCTCTGCTGTCGGTGCTGAGCGAGCGCCGCGCCTTCCGGCCCTACGGCCTCCACGGTGCGCGCCCCCGCCTGCCGGCCCCTGCCCGCTCCGCGAGGTCTCCCGGGCTTTCCTGGACACCCCGCGCCTCGCCTCTCCCGCAGGGGGCAAGCCTGGCGCCCGGGGCCTGAACCTGCTCATCCGCAAAGACGGCCGCACGGTGAATCTGGGCGGAAAGACGTCGGTCCCCGTGTACCCCGGGGTAAGGGCCGCGGCCGGGCAGCCTCCCCGTCCCACCGAGGGCGAACAGAGGCGCAGGAGCATCCAGGAACCGCGTTTAATGTGTCCGCGGAAGGCGCGGGGGGCCCCGAGGACCGGGGCCTGCGCCCGCGCTGAGCCCGCGCCTGTGCCCCCCAGGACGTGTTCTGCCTGCACACGCCCGGCGGCGGCGGTTACGGAGACCCGGAGGACCCCGCGCCGCCCCCGGGCTCGCCCCCGCAGCCCGTGGCCTTTCCTGAGCGCGGCAGCGTGTACGAGTACCGGCGGGCGCAGGAAGCCGTGTGAGCGGCGCAATAAAGATGCTCAAGCCGCCCGGCTCGGGCGCAGCGGCCGCGCAGCCTCCCGCTCCGTGTGTCGCCGGCCTACGGGGGCGCCGAAACCCGCAGGTGCAGGCCCACGGCCAGGTGGTCCGTGAGCCCCGCCAGGGCCGTGCTGAAGGTCACCTGCTCCACCTCCTGCGGGCGGGACTCGGGCTCGAGGCTGGGCCCAGCCAGCAGGCCCGGCCGCCCCGCGCCCCGGCACTTACCGGGCTCAGCAGCCCCCCAGGCTGTGCCCGGTACACGATGTAGTCCAGACGCCGGCCTTGCCACGGGTTGGGCCGGCAGCCCCCGCTGGGAGGGCCCGCCAGGTACAGTTGGCGGCCTTTCTCCTGCTCCAGGGCCCTGGGGGTGGGGTGGGGAGGGGCGATGTCACTGGCCAGGGCGAGTGATGCCCGGCCCCCAGGCCGCCACTCCCCTTAGCGGCGCCTGGCGGGAGGTGGGGAGGCGGAGCCCGGGCCGCCGCTCACCTGCGCCGCACTGTGTGGGGGAGCCCGGGCCGCCGCTCACCTGCCCCGCACTGTGTGGGGGAGCAGGCCTCCTCCACTCACCTGCGCCGCACCTGCGGGGAGGGGGCGCCGCTCACCTGCACAGCATCTCCGGGGAGCTGGCCACCGAGTGGTGGAGCGCGGTGGTGCTCAATAAGGTCCCTGCGGTGCCGGGAGGGCGGGGTCACCGGGAGCCTCGCGCGTCCTCGGGCTGCGCACGCACCCCCACCGCACCCCCAGGCGCCGTACCCAGGGCCCAGGGCTGCTCCCGCCGCGTGCCCAGCCGGCAGGGGTCCCGGAAGCGGCTGAAGAGTTTGTGCTCCTGCTCTCGAGCGTGGTCTGCCGGGAAAAGCGAAAAGCGGCGCTCGATGGGCGGGGCCGTGCCTTCGGGACCCGCCCCTCCGACTCCCACTCCCCTCACCTTGCGAGTGGTTGTCGAAGTTCAGGTCGCCCAGGAGCACGCTGAAGGCCACGGCCTCGTCGCTCCGGCCGCTCTCGGCCTCGAACTGCTCGGCCCACTCCAGCAGCAGCGTCAGCTGCTCGCAGCGCAAGGGCCCGTCCTCTGGGGGGAGGGGGGCGCCCACCAGATCCTGAGACTTGTCCGTGCGGGGCGGGCGCTGAGGGCGGCTGCCAGAGCGCCAGACGGCCTGGCCCCATGCCCACGGGGCCGCGCGCCAGACTCACCCGTAGGCGCATGCAAGTGCGTGCAGTGCAGGAAGCCCACGATGCGGCGCCCGTCCAGCGTGCCCAGCTGCGCCTGCAACGCCAGGGATGGCTCCAGCTGCCCTGCCTTTTGGGGCCAGCACCCTCCACTCCCCGGCCAGGGCGCATCGGGTCTGTACCTGTGCAGACAGCAGTCCCTTGGAGGCCAGGGCGTCTTCCCGGCGCGCGTTGGGGAAGCATCGGAAGGAGGCGCGCAGCAGCGGGTAGCGCGAGGCCAGCAGCAGCCCGCTGCCCAGCAGCTTGAGGTAAGGCCCGCGCTGCAGGCCCAGCGTTCCCACGTCGTGCAGCACCGGCCCCAGACTGGGCGCCAGGCGCCGCACCAGGCGACGGCCCGCGCGGAGATCGAACACCTCCTGCAGGCACACGAAGTCCACACCTGCGGGCACCGCAGGCAGGAGCACCCCGCAGGGCGCCCCTGGCTGCGGCTGCCTGCAGTCGGTGGCCCCGTGCAGCGAGGGCCGAAGGCCAGCTAGGAGCGCGGCGCCGATGGCCTCCGCGCGCCGCTGGCTGTGCGACAGGTTGCTGAAGCGCGCCAGCCCGTCGGGGAGCAGGCACAGGTTGGCGGTGAGGAAGGCGAAGCAGCGCGCGGGCTCGGCGGTAGCGCGCCAGGGCGGGGGTGGCACCCAGCACCGCGGAGGGGGCTGGTAGCAGAAGGGGCGGCGCCAGGCCTGCAGCGGCAGCCAGAGCAGCAGGCCGGGGAGCGCCAGCGGCAAACCCAGTAGCAGCAGCAGCGCCAGCGCCGCGCAGCCGACTGCCGCCGCTCGAAGCGTTCCCAGCCGGCTGGGTGGCACTCTCGGGGCGCAGCAGCCCAGCAGCTGGTCCAGCAACCAGTAGGTCGGGAAGAGGAGCGCGCGCGACAGGTCGTGGAGGGCGTGCAGCACCGGGTGCGGGAAGGGGGAGGCCCGCAGGGCGTCGGGCGCCGGGGGCCAGTCGGGCAGGGGTTGCATGGCGCACAGGGCTGTCTCGCCGTGAGGCACCTGGGAGGCCTATTTGCTTCCAGTGTGCGCGTCGAGTTGCCCGTGCGTCCTTGAGAGCTGCGGGTTAGTAGCGCGGGTGCAGGGCACGTGGCGCGACCTGCGCCGAGAGCAGGCGTGTCGCTGCGTCCGAAGGCGTGGGCGGAGGGTGCCGCTCTCCGCGTCTCATCCGCGCGCAACTTCGGCGCTGGCTGGGGAGAACGGAAGGGAAAGAGAAAGGGATCCTGCCTCGGGCTCCACCCACACCCCCCTGGCCCCGCCCCTCCACCCCTGGAGGCCGCCGGCTGTCCTTGAGTGTTGGCCCGAGCGCGCAGCGTCCGGCGCCGGCACCCTTCGGGGTCAGCCAGCTCGCAATAGGCCGGGCGCTCGGGATGCCTCGGCCCTGACCCTCTCCCCGCGGCCGCAGCGGCCCTGAGGTGTCTGGCCCCTGGGTTCGGCGATCCAGCACCGGTGCTGACCAGCCTCCCGCCCAGCGCCCTGCACAGTCCCTGAGGTCGGCCCGTGGTGAGGCGGCCCTGAGACCCAACCCTAAGGAGCTTCCAGTCTGGGGAGGGACCGTTGACTGCGGGGCTCGCGAGCCGGAAGGCAGGCAGCTCCCCCGCGGTGTCGCGCGTGGGCGCCCATCCCCAGCCCACCTTTCTGATGCCGGCTGTGAATGGGGCATCCACGACCACTTCTCAGAGGCGGGGGGCTCAGACTGCCCTGGAGGCCTGGCTCGGGGCTGACGCTCACCCTGCTGGCCCCGACTGTTCTGGTTGTGGTCCGGCAGGCTGGACCCCCTGACTCCTCGGGAAGCTTGGGTGTGGGGGGCCCCAGCGTGCCCCCACGAAGCCTCGGTGCCCCTGGCCTGCGTGCTTGGCCTCTGACCCCACCACCCACGTCTGAACCTGGACACGCACTCCTCTGTCTTTCCTTTTCCACCTGTGGGTCAGGGGCCACTCTGTGTCTTCCCTCCTGGCTCCCGCACAGCCACCATCCTGGCCTGCGCCCCCTGGCTGTTCCCACCCCGTCCACCTTCCCCTGCCGCCCGCGCCCCAGCTCTCTGGGACCCTGTGCAGAGGCGTCTTCTCCCTGAACTTGGGCATCGTGGGAAGAGGCTCCACTTCCCCGGTTGCCTCCCGCCCGCGTTTGGGCAAGAGTACTTTCTTCCCGCTCTCCTCCCTCTAATGCCCTCCTGCCCCCAGGTGGGGAATCCCTCTCCCTCCCCGCCCGACCCACGTCTATTTCCTCTGCCCCTTCCCCCAAGATCCCAGCTCCCTCCCGCCCTCCTGCTCCCATTCCTGCACAGCTGCGGCTCAGGGGCTCCTCTGCTTCTGCCACGTGGCCAAGCAAGGGGACACTTGGTGGGGAATCTCCCAGCCAGTCCCTTCAGCCGCACAGCTGCGGAGCCTCTGTGGGCAGTACTCGAGGGAGGGCCCTGGGTCGGGGCCTCCAGGGCAGGCAGGGCCTACGCGGCCAGGGTCTGGGTCTGGGTCTGGTCAGCACCCTGGGGAGGCACCCCACACAGCGGCGCAGTGGCCCCGTGGCTGGTGTCTGTGGGGAGCTTTAATGTCATTGGCGGGGTGCGGGGAGGGCCAGCCTGGGCCAGCCGGTGCCGGCGTCACCAGATGAACATGGGCTTGCCGTCGTCGTGCGCCAGCTGGTTGAGGCAGGAGAGCAGCAGCAGGGCGTCGGTGAGCATGCTGGGGTGCACAGTCTCCACCAGCACGCGCTGCAGGAAGTCCACGGTGTAGGAGCCGCCCTCGGACGCCGCCAGCTCGGGCCGCTCCCGCAGGATGCCGTAGGCGTTCACCAGCTGCTCCGTCAGCGCCGGGTGCACCCTCCCGTTGTAGCCCAGACTCTGCAGCCTGTTCATGATGCTCACGTAGCGCTGGGTGAGTGTCTGGCACAGCTCCTCGTCCAGCTTGTGGTCGCTGGGGTTCAGCGAGGCCTGTGGGGAGAGTGGCCGTCAGAGACCCTGCAGGCGGGCACGGGCACGACCCAGGACTCGCGAGGTGGAGGAAGGCCCTCAGCCGTGGCTGTGGGAGGACCAGGATTGGGGTGCCTGCAGAGGAGGTCCCGGGGAGAGGCCCCGAGCCCAGGGGACGCCACGGCTGGACCCCTGCAGGGTCCACCACCCCTGTCGCCTGCTCCGTCTGCCCTTGGGGTCTGGGACTGAGCTGCGGTTCACAGGGGACTGAGGGCAGAGATCTAGGCTGGGGCTGTGGAGGGAGGGGCGGAGTGAACAGGGCAGCAGGGTCACCTGACCCAGGGCTCTCCCAGGCTTTCTGCCCTGCTCCCTGCCCCCCCCCCCATGGCCCTGGGCTGTACCCACGAGCTCTCGGCACTGAGGGTCCCGCTGACTGGTCCTGGGGACCCACAGACTCTGGGACGCTCTCCCTCGCTCCCCAGCCCAGCCCCTCCTCCCGCTGCACCTGCCGCCGCCTCCTGGGACCACGTGCGCGGCCAGCTGACCCCGTGCTGTTTAATGCCCTGTGGCTCCGTCCCGGTTTTGAACGAGGCCTGTGTGTATTTGCACTGTGCACTGAGCTGTTCCGGCTCAGCCCAGGGAGCCTGACTCAGAAGTGGACCTGAGCGGGCTCCCCCCCCCCCCCCGCCCCGGGGCTGCTCTCCCCCTCCCTGCCCAGACAAGCGGCTCAGGCCCTACCTCCCAGGGAGACTCCCCTGTTCGCCCCCGCCCTGCCCCGCCCCGCTGGTCACAACAGCAGAGCCCTGTGATGGGTGCCCTTGCTCCTGGTCAGCACCTGGCACAGGCCCCTGCACCTCCCAGGCAAAGCAACAGCACACGCAGGGCCAGCACCTGGCTGCTGGGTTTGGGGTTAAAGGAAATGACCGCAGGGAGCACTGGGCACAGTGCAGGTGTGGTCAGCACCAGCCCCTCGGGGCCTGGGAGCCCTGCCCAGGAGTGTGTCCGCGGGCACACCGCAGCTCTGGCTGTGCCGGAGTGAAGGCGGGGGCCCCAGGCGTGCCGGGACCAGGCCAGGAGCTGGGGGTGCAGGGCGGAATCACCGCCTTCCAGCTTCCCTCAGACTCTTCCCACAACACGCCTCCCCCCAACTCTGCCGCACACCCTGACCATGTAGCCCAACTCTGTCTCACACCCTGTGTACCCCAACTCTGCCTCACACCCTGACCGTGTACCCCGACTCTGCCGCACACCCTACTGTGTACCCCAACTCTGCCGCACACCCTGACCGTGTACCCCGACTCTGCCGCACACCCTGACCGTGTACCCCAACTCTGCCTCACACCCTGACTGCATCACCCCAACTCTGACTCACACCCTGACCATGTACCCCAACTCTGCCGCACACCCTGACCGTGTACCCCAACTCTGCTGCACACCCTGACCGTGTACCCCGACTCTGCCTCACACCCTGACCACCTCATCCCAACTCTGCCTCACACCCTGACCATGTACCCCAACTCTGCCACACACCCTGACCGTGTACCCCAACTCTGCTGCACACCCTGACCGTGTACCCCGACTCTGCCTCACACCCTGACCGTGTACCCCAACTCTGCCGCACACCCTGACCGTGTACCCCAACTCTGCCTCACACCCTGTGTACCCCAACTCTGCCTCACACCCTGACCATGTACTCCAACTCTGCCTCACACCCTGACCATGTACCCCAACTCTGCTGCACACCCTGTGTACCCCAACTCTGCCTCACACCCTGTGTACCCCAACTCTGCTGCACACCTTGACCATGTACCCCCAACTCTGCCTCACACCCTGACCATGTACCCCAACTCTGCCTCACACCCTGACTGCATCACCCCAACTCTGACTCACACCCTGACCATGTACCCCAACTCTGCCGCACACCCTGACCGTGTACCCCAACTCTGCTGCACACCCTGACCGTGTACCCCGACTCTGCCTCACACCCTGACCACCTCATCCCAACTCTGCCTCACACCCTGACCATGTACCCCAACTCTGCCACACACCCTGACCGTGTACCCCAACTCTGCTGCACACCCTGACCGTGTACCCCGACTCTGCCTCACACCCTGACCGTGTACCCCAACTCTGCCGCACACCCTGACCATGTACCCCAACTCTGCCTCACACCCTGTGTACCCCAACTCTGCCTCACACCCTGACCATGTACTCCAACTCTGCCTCACACCCTGACCATGTACCCCAACTCTGCTGCACACCCTGTGTACCCCAACTCTGCCTCACACCCTGTGTACCCCAACTCTGCTGCACACCTTGACCATGTACCCCAACTCTGCCGCACACCCTGACTGTGTACCCCAACTCTGCTGCACACCTTGACCATGTACCCCAACTCTGTCGCACACCCTGACTGTGTACCCCAACTCTGCCTCACACCCTGACCGTGTACCCCAGACTCCATCCGGGTCTCCCACATGGGTGCAGGGACCGGAGCACTTGCGCCATCTGCCACTGCCTTCACAGAGGCATCAGCAGGGCGCGGCCAGGACTAGGAGCAGCGCACCGTGTGGGATGCCGGCGCTGCAGGCAGCAGCTCGGTGGCTGCACCACACCTGCGCTGTCACCCCGACGTCACCCCACATGACCGATGGCACGTCCTGCCTCACTGTGCCAGCCGAGCCCGTCAGCCGACTGTAGCGGCACTGTCACTCACTCTGGCCGCTCTGCCCCGCACTGACGCTCTACCGGAGCAGGCACGCCCAGCCCACGGGCTGCCCGAATCCTGGGGTCTGGGGTCTGGGGTCTGGCGCTGCCAAGGCCACTGCGGGCGGGGATGCAGTACGTCAGAGCAGGCGAAGTTCTCAGTGGACACTTGTGTGTCCTCCGTTATGAGTACCACAGGGCCCTCTGCAGACAGCGAGCGCGAGGCAGGTGTGGAGGGGAGAGAAGAGGGGAGTCCATGGGACAGGGAGCAGGTGCCGGCGGCCATGAGGGGCAGCAGTGTGGCCAGGCCCGTGTGCCTGCCCCCGCCCCCACAGGCTTCCCACCCGCAACACCTGTGACCCCGGCCACAGGCGCAGTGACAAGGGGGACGAGACAGAAACGCACTCGCTCAGGGGCAGAGGGGACTCCGGTGGTGTGCAGTCCTCAGGCCTAGCCGTGCTGGGCCCACCTCCTGTGGGAGGCGGTGCAGACGCAGCCCGAGGCCTGCGGCAGTGCCGGACACCCTGCCCCTCCAACCAGAATGCCGAGCGCACCCCAACCGGAGGCACTCTGAAAACCAAGGACCTCTCCCCCTCCCCCTCCCTCCCCTCTCCCTCTCTCTCCCCTCTCTCTCCCCTCTCTCTCTTCCTCTCCCTCTCCCTCCCCTCTCTCTCTTCCTCTCTCTCTCCCCTCTCTCTCTTCCCCTCTTCTCTCTCCCCTCTGTCTTCCTCTCTCTCTCCCCTCTCTCCCCATCTCTCTCTTCCTCTCTCTATCTTCCCTCTTGTGGTGGAATGAGGTGAAAAGGTCATGCCAAGATGGCCACTGACAACAGAAACTGCCTGGCAACAGGCCGTGATTGGATGGTTTCAGAAACTGCCTGGCAACAGGCTGTGATTGGATGGCTTTGGAAACTGCCTGGCAACAGGCTGTGATTGGTTGGGGTATAGACTGCCCCTTGACCAGATTGGCTGGTCTTGGCTATATAAGCTGTTGTAGCAACTGAAATAAATGGGTCTGTGGGCTGCTGGCCTCAGGCCTGCTTTCGACTGACTCCGGGGTCTGTGTGGTGACTCCACGCCTCTTGCCCCCACCACGCTCCTCCTCTCAGAAACGGATCCACTGCAACACTGTTGAGAAATCAACTGCAACACCCCCCCCCTCTCCCCATCTCTCTCTTCCTCTCTCTCTCTTCCTCTCTCTGTAACTCTGCCTTTCAATAACTCTTAATACCCTCCTCCCCAAAAAAAGCAAGAAAGGGGCTGGTGCTGTGGCTTAAGTTAAGCCAAGTGGGTGCCAGTTGGAGTCCCGGCTGCTCCACTTCCGATCCAGCTCCCTGCTATGGCCTGGGAAAGCAGTGGTGGATGGCCTGAGTGCCTAGGGGACCCAGATGGAGAACCGGGCTTCCGGCTTCAGCCTGGCCCAGCCCCAGCCATTGTGGCTATCTGGGAAGTGAACTAACAGGTGGAGGCTCACTTGCTCTCTCTCTCTCTCTCCCCCGTCCCTCCCTCTTCCTGTAACTCTTTCAAATAAATAAATAAATCTTTACAAAATTTCTTTCGTGGGGCTGGCATTGTGGGGTAGCAGGTAAAGCCGCGACCTGCAACGCCAGCATCCCACATGGCGCCAGTCCCAGTCCTGGTTGCTCTCTGCTACGTCCTGGGAAAGCAGTAGAAGATGGCCCAAGTGCGTGGGCCCTGCACCCGCGTGGGCGACCAGGAGGAAGCTCCTGGCCCCTGGCTGCCTCCTGGCCCAGTGCTGCTGTTGCAGCCATTTGGGGCGTGAACCAGCAGACGAAAGACTTCTCTGTATAACTCTGACTTTCAAAAAAATAAATCTTTTAAAACATTATTTCCTGATTCTAACAAATTAACAAAATTCTCAACAAATGAAGACTGGGTCGAGGGAAAACTTCTCCGGTGGGGCGCAGTTACTGATGCTGGCTCGTGCAGCCTCTGTTCTAGCACTTTCTGTGGCCTCCCTGAGCCCTCCGGGCTGCACGCCACCCCTGCCAGATCTGCAGCTCAGGTGCCTGCTCTCTGCCCCACAGACAAGCGGGCGGGCTGTGGCCGTGGCGCTGCTGAGTGTGGGGGCCTGACTGGGAGTGTGCACGCTGTCCCTGGGGCAGTGGCCCATGGCCATCGGCTAGGGAGGTCCATGGCAGCTCAGAGCTCCTGGCTCCTGGCTTCAGCCTGGCCAAGTCCTCCTCCAGCCATCTGGGGAGTGAACCAGCACGTGAAAGACCTCTCTCTCCCTCCCCCCCCTCCTCTGTCTTTAATAAATAAATAAATCTTAAAAACGAAAATAAGGGAGAGGCAGAGGACCAGAGTTCTGGTGGAAAGTCCTTGCTTGCGTCCTTGGTAGCGGGCAGGGCTCGCTGGCCGCAGGCTGCTCAGGCCTGGGGCACGGACGGTGAGCGTTTGCAGAGCAAGGGGCCCCGGCTGGGCAGCTCCATTTAGGGATGCCACAGCCACTGACGCCGGAGTGCCACAGCAGAGGGACAGGGCGCTTCGAGGCGGGGAAGCAAAAGGCCTGGGTGGCACAGGAAGTCCTGGCCAGGCAGGAGCTAAAAGCAAATCACAGCTGTGCGGCCTGTGGTGAGCCTCAGAGGGCCAGCCCTGGTGCCCCAGCCCAGGCCGCAGGGTGAGCCCCAGAGGGCCGTGCCCGGCCCGCCCGCAGGGTGAGCCCCAGAGGCCCACCCCGGGTGCCCGCCCCAGCCCCGGGGCAGCCTCTCTGTAGGTGGGCTCCAGCGGGGCTGCTCCCCAAGAGGATGGTGGCCAGAGCTGGCCGAAGGCCTGGGCCAGGGTCTGGAATTGGTGATGGTGGCTCTTGGGCAGGACTGGAGCATGGTGGAGAGGGCCGGGGTTCCCAGGGGCCACCGGCGCGGTTCAGCAGAGCCACGCTGGGTTTGCCTGCCTCAGACACCAGCGGAATTCTTACAGACCCCGTTTCCTCGCTTGCCCCTCCCAGGAGCACCGCTGTGCTGTGCCGGCCTGCGGCCCAGGTAACAGTTCCCACACCAGTGTGTGGGACGCCGGCGGGGCGGGGGTGGGGTGCACGGCACAGCTGCCCACACCAAAGGCCGAGCACCTGTCGTCCGCTCACCAATGAGAGTGACCGAGCTCTGCACCGACGGGGGGCTCTCGCCCATCAGTCTGCCGAACACACGAGACGCGAACGCGGTTCACGGTGTCCTCGGCTGAGTATCGAGTCGCCCGGCCGGCTGCCCTGTGCCGAGCTGCTCCTGCACACACAGGGGCGCCAGCGGGGGCCCCGCCAACCGCGGCATCGGAAACTGAGGGGCCAGCGGCACCTCAAGCAGTGTAATCCGCAATCCACACAAGGCAACGTGCGGTCCTGGTTTCCCCCTCTGTGAGCCACACCAGGCCTCCTGTCCACCCCGTGGCGTCGCCGTGGGAGGGAAGCTCTCAGCACCAGGACTGCCCCTCCCACGTGCCCTCCCTGTCTCCCAGTCTCAGGAGCCCTGTCCCTTGTCCCTTGGCGGCTGCTGCCCACCACCCTCCCGCCATCCGCGTCCTCTGGTGCTAGGTGGGGGTGGGGGGTGGGCACTGCCTGGCCTTACGCCATCCACCACGGTCATTAATGGGACAAAGACCCAAGTGGAAGAAAACCTGAAGGCTTCAGAAGACACAGACGCGGAATCGGGGCTTTCTTGCCGGGAAGGACCTCTGAAACACGACGCAGCAAGGACCAGCAGTGAGGGCAAAGGCTGAGAGCCTGGCCACGCTACGCTGGAAACCGGGCGGCCAGCCGCCTGCTCTCCCTGGGAGGCAGCAGGTGTGGCTCAAGTGCTTGGGTTCCTGCCCCCACGCGGGAGACCTGGATTGGGTTCCTGGCTCCTGGCCTTGGCCTGGCCCAGCCTTTGGTGTTGAGGCATTCAGGGAGTGAACCAGAGGATGGAAGACCTCTCTCTCTCTGTCTCTCCCTGTCACTCTGCCTTTCAAACAAACAAACAAACAAACAAATAAATCTTTTTTTAAAAAATGAAAACCTAACCAAAGGATGCTTTAGCCAGAAGAAAAGACGAAATCAACCCTGAACCCCAAACTGGTGGCGGAACCACAGTCATCATGCCGACCTCACGGGTCTACCAGCCCGGTGCAGGGCCCAGCTCTTTCCCCAAAGAAGCCCAGGTGGCCCACAAGCAGGGACGGATACACCTTCTCCCCTGGCCCTGCTTCCACGTGCAGCCCGGCAGTGGACCAGCGCCCACTCTGCCACCCGTCCCATGCGGTGGCACTGGGACACGCCTGCCCCTGCAGGCTTCCACGCGCAGGCTCAGTGGATGCATCCTGGCCACATGCGCCGGCCTGAGGCTGCCAGCTGCCCAGAGCCTCTGGTCCTGTGCGTCCTGTGACCCAGTGACGGCCGAGGGCTGCAAGGGCAGGGGAGGCCCTGGCTGTGCTAGTCCGCAGAGGGCCACCCTTCCAAGGCCGTGGTGGTGGCAGAGGCCGGACCTGCCTGCCCCTGCCTGCAGCCTGCCCCTGCCCTGCCTCCTCAGCGGAGGTCTTGGGGCTGGGCCTGGAGGCTCCCAGTGCTGGACACCTGGACCCCCACCCAGGGTACCCTTGGATTTAGACTCATTCCACACAGCAGGGATCTCCCATCCTCAGGCCCTCTGTGGTAGGGCGCTCACACACCTGGGTGACCTGGTCCCCAGGCCCCCCTGCGGGTGGGGCACTCACACACCTGGGTAACCTGGTCTCCAGGCCCCCCTGCGGGTGGGGCACTCACACACCTGAGTGACCTGGTCCCCAGGCCCCCCTGCGGGTGGGGCACTCACACACCTGGGTAACCTGGTCTCCAGGCCCCCCTGCGGGTGGGGCACTCACACACCTGGGTGACCTGGTCCCCAGGCCCCCCTGCGGGTGGGGCGCTCACACACCTGGGTGACGGGTCCCCAGGGGCGCTCACACACCTGGGTAACCTGGTCTCCAGGCCCCCCTGTGGGTGGGGCGCTCACACACCTGGGTGACCTGGTCTCCAGGCCTCCCTGTGGGTGGGGCACTCACACACCTGGGTGACCTGGTCCCCAGGCCTCCCTGCGGGTGGGGCACTCACACACCTGGGTGACCTGGTCCCCAGGCCCCCTGCGGGTGGGGCGCTCACACACCTGGGTGACGGGTCCCCAGGGGCGCTCACACACCTGGGTGACGGGTCCCCAGGGGCGCTCACACACCTGGGTGACCTGGTCCCCAGGCCCCCTGCGGGTGGGGCACTCACACACCTGGGTGACGGGTCCCCAGGGGCGCTCACACACCTGGGTGACTGGGTCCCCAGGGGCGCTCACACACCTGGGTGATGGGTCCCCAGGCCCCCTGCAGGTGGGGTGCTCACACACCTGGGTGACGGGTCCCCAGGGGCGCTCACACACCTGGGTGACTGGGTCCCCAGGGGCGCTCACACACCTGGGTGACGGGTCCCCAGGCCCCCCTGTGGGTGGGGCGCTCACACACCTGGGTGACGGGTCCCCAGGCCCCCTGCGGGTGGGGCGCTCACACACCTGGGTGACGGGTCCCCAGGCCTCCCTGCCGGTGGGGCACTCACACACCTGAGTGACCTGGTCCCCAGGCCTCCCTGCGGGTGGGGTGCTCACACACCTGGGTGAATGGGTCCCCAGGCCCCCTGCGGGTGGGGCACTCACACACCTGGGTGACGGGTCCCCAGGCCCCCTGCGGGTGGGGCGCTCACACACCTGGATGATCTTCTCTGGAATGTTGGACACGGTGAAGCCGTAGAGGCGCACACGCTCGGGGAAGATGCTGGACAGGATCCTGCGGTCCAGCTGGAAGGCGATCTCCCCCACCAGCCTTTCCCAGGCCAGCTGCTTCGGCTCTGGGGACGACAGCAGGGAGTGGCAGGGGCCCTGTGGGCAGCCCGAGGCGAGCCAGGCCCCGGCCCACTGACCTCGGGAGCTGTCGGCGAACTTGCTAGTCTTGCGGTGGGTCAGCTTCCGCTCCAACTCCAGGATGCTCTTCCGAGCCGGCTCCGCGGCGCTGGGAGCCCGGGTGTCGTTGACCGAGGCCGGGGAGGACGCGGTGCGAGACGGGGAGGAGTGGGCGTTGCGTGGAGGAGAGTGGGGGCTGGCCAGGGGCCGGCTGGACGAATGCTGCACGCGGGCGGGGGACTGGGGGGCCACGTGTGTGGTGCTCGAGGTGTAGCCACCGGGGGGCTGGGGGGCCGGAGTGGTGGTGCCCGTGAGGACGGGGAGTTGGGGGGAGGCGGGGACAGCGGCGGGAACCATCTGTCCCTGGGGGGCACTGGGCTGGGCCCGGGGGTCTGAGGCGCTGAAGGAGAAGGCGGTGCTGGGGATGGGCGTGGCCACGGAGCCCATGGGGGTGGAGGTCTGGAGGGGCGTGCCCACAAACGCCACGCTGGGGGGCTCTGGGTCCTGGGTCATCCGGGCGTGCTCAGCAGGGAGAGGGACTAGCGATGAGGGAAGTGGAGGTGAGAGGGGGGGCTGCAGCTCACCCCCACCCAGCACCCAGCTGCCCCTCCCCCAGCCCGGCCCATTACCTTTGGGGGTGGCGGCCGAAGAATGGGGCTCTGGCAGCCGTACCCTGGGGGCCTCCGACAGCACCAGGTTGCCCATGGGGCTGGCCAGAAGGTTCTGAGAGACACCTATAGGGGCAGCCGTGGAGCTGAGCAGGGGGCTGCTCAGAGAGACTGTCACGGGGCCCCCCACGGGGGCCATCAGAGGGCCACTCTGTGACACGGCCAGCGGCCCGGCCAGGGGGCTGCTTGGAGTCAGAGAGCCAGTGGAGATCATGCCCAAGGAGCTGGCCAGCGTGCCCATGGTGGGGGTCGCCACGGAGCCCGTGAGGTGGCTGCCCAGCGGGCTGGTCAGGGCGCCCGTGGCGGGGGTCACTGCCAGGGGGCTGGGCAGGTGGCTGGGCAGGTGGCTGGGCAGGGGCCCGTTCAGGAGGCTGGAGATGGGGGTGCTCTGCGACACAGGGGCTGGGCCAGTCAGCAGCGAGCTGAGGGGGCCCGTCAGGGGGCTCACGAGGGGGCCGGGCTGCGGGCTGCTCAGCATGTCGGCCAGGGGTGCCAGGGCTGTGAGCCCCATTTCTTCCAGGGTGGGCTCGTTCACTGTTGCTGCGGCCGAGGGCAAGAAGACACCTAAGAGACACAGTGAAAGCAGGAGACCCCGTAAGCCCCTCTGGGAGCAAGGTGTGGGGCCGATGCAACCCCCCCGCCCCTCCCCTCCCACTGTGCGGGGGGCCTGGCCCAGGTGCCCACAGCCTCTCTGTCTGACCTCACTTCCTAGGGTCTTGGAGTTCCTGGCTCCTGGCTTCCGTCTCTGGGCCCAGTCTAGGGCTGTTTGGAGTATCTGGGGAGTGAACCAGTGAATGGGGGCACACTGTGTCTCTGTCTCTCAAACAAATAAAGAAAAAAGACGAAAGAGCTCAAGTCAAGACCCTGACTACGCACCTTAAGGAACCAGCAATAAAGGCAGCGGCTAAGCGGGAAGCAGGCAGAAGGGGCAGAGAAGACCGGGAGGAAGCTCGACACGGCGAGGCCAGAGCCACAGAGCAACGGGCAGGAGTCAGCCGGCTGTCCCCCCAGCTCACCCCGCTGCCCCAGACGCCCTGTGGGGGCAGCCGGAGCCCGCATTGCTGATCCCTGCGCTCAGGCTGAGGCCTCCACTGGCTGGGGCCAGTGCTCTGTCACCTGGCTTCCTGCAGGTGCTGCTGGCCCCACTCTGTCTACCTTCCTGCGCGTGGCTTAGGTTCACCTTGTACTGCACCTCCCTGGTGAGCTGTGCAGCCCGGGCCTGGGGACGGGCCTTGTGCCACCACCACTCCCCGACTCACTGCACAAAACCTCTCACCCCGGCACCGGCCTGCTGCCTCCCTCTCCAGCTCCTGACGGGGCTGCAGCCTGGCCCCCCAGTCCCTGCCTCCCCAGCCCACTCCCTGTCCTTGAGGACCCTAGCACTGCCCACCCGCCCACACCACCATCCCCCTGCCTGGTTGTTGCAGGAGCCTCCTGGCTGGTCTCCGGACGCCAGCCTCGTGCCCCAAGCGTTGCCAGGGTCCTCCGGTTAGACAGCTGCCGGCTAAGCGTCTCGTCCCCTGCACGGCCCCTCGGGCTGGCCCGTGACCTCGCTCCCTCTGCTCCTCAGCCGCTCCTCAGCGGCTTCGGGTGCACTCTCGCCTGCCTTTGCCCTGGCCATTCCCTCTTCCTGGACGGAAACTTGGTGCTCAGGGGAAGAGCTGGGCGGCAGGTGCTCAGCCAAGCAGCTGAGACGCCCGCATTCCCTGTTGGACTGCCTGGCTCTGGCTCCTGTCTCTACTGACACAGACCTTGGGAGACAGCAGTGGCAGCAGTGATCAAGCACCTGCCACCCACGTGGGAGACCTGGGTTCAGCTCCCAGCTCCCAGCTTTGGCCTGGCCCAGCCCTGGCTGCTGCAGGCATCTGGGGAGTGAGCCAGTGGTGAGAACTCTGCCTGCCTATCTTTCTCTGTCTCCATGCCTTTGAAATAAATTAACGAAAACATCAGTCAGCATAGGAATTGGGATGCTTGGCTTGGCTTTGTGCCCTCCAGCACCGAGGGCTCAATCGGCCACAGAAGCAAGCGTTCCTGGAATGACCTCCAGAGCTGGGCCACGGAGGCAGCCACACGAGACACCCACGTTCAACGCAGTGGTGTGCCCTGGTCCGAAAGAGCTGTGCTGCCCTTGGAATACACGGTGCAAAGTGGATCAGGGTCTGTGGACATCGGTCGTATTTCTACACACTTGCAATGAACAATACAAAAATTGAAATGAGAAAGCAAGTTATAATAGCATCAAAAAGAATAAACTACTTGGGAGTACCTTTAGCAAAAGAAACACAGAACCACACTCCGTAAGCCACAGACGCTGTGGAAGACATGAAGGAGGACCCAGGCAGACGGGAGGGCCGCCCGTGTTCGGACTCAGTGCACCCCGGACAGGACTCGCGCCAGCCCCTTCCGGAAACTCACAAGCTGATCCTAAAATCCACACGGAATTTCGAGCCCCAGAACGGCCCAGGCAACACTGAAAAGGAAGAAGGTGGCCGACGCATGTTGTGTGGATCCAGGCAGCGGTATGCGTGGGTCGGCGCAGGATGAGCACGAAGATCGACGGACTAGGAGTCCATTGCACTGGGAGTCCGGGGAGAAACCACATCTCCATGACCTACTTGTTTTCAGCAAGGCTGCCAGGACAGCTCTGGGGGGAGAACTGTCTTTTCAGCGGAGGGTCCTGGGACAACTGGGCACCCACACACCGGGACGCAGTTCAGTGCCTGCCTCCACACACGTGAAATCAAAAGGCATCAAAGCCTTAAATGCAGGAGGCAAGACCATAAAAGGCTTAGAACAAGACATGAGATGGATCTGCATGACTTTGGGCTTGGCAATGGCTTCTTGGTCATGAATCTACGATCGTACCAAAAGCACAAGACGAAAAACAACAGACAAGTCAGATGTCGTCAAAATTCAAAGTTCTGTGTTTCAAAAGATGTCATTGGGAGGATAGCCAGAAAGGAAACTGTAAGAGAGGGAGGAAATATTTGCAAGTCACATGTTTGCTAAGGGATCGTAGCCAGTAAACGTGGACTCTTACAACTCAATAAAATGGGCAAAGGGTTGGAAAAGGGCCATTCTTAAAGGAGAAACACAGAGAGCTCAGGGGCACATGCAGGGACTCAGTGCTGTTGTCACCAGGGAGCTGCACGCAAGAGCCGGGTCACCACCACTGGGCCGGCTACGACGGAAAGGTCAGATGACACACACTGGCGGAGGTGTGGAAGGCAGGGTCTTCACACATCGCCGGTGGGAACGTAGACTGGCGTGGCTGCTCTGCACAGCCGTCCGGCAGCTCCCCGGCCACACGGTCGCTGCGACCCAGCAGTTCCACCCCTACTTGTGCACCCGAGAGGCACGACAGCCCGTCTGCACAAACCCAGCGCAGTGCTCCCAGCGACCCAGAGCAGGGCCGTCTGATGTGCACTGGGGAAGGGACGGGCACAGGCTCTGCATCCATGCAAGGGAGCACCATTCAGCTGAGACCCGGGACACCCCCACACCCTGCCCCTCGTCACAGCCTGCGTGAACCTCGAAAACATCGGGCCACGAGAGACTACAAGAGGTGAACCCCTGGAACCCAGACAGTAGATCTGTTAGGTGGGAAGTCAGATATGAGCTTGTGTGTGTGACATAAAGGCCTAAAGAGAAGACGTCTATGTCCAGCAAATACATCTGCATCTCAAAGTCATCCCGATAACGTTTCAGGGACAGCCCAGTTCCCATCCTGCCCTGCCCCTTCTACCTGATGACCTGCCAGGTGGGGGTCCCCGCCCCTTCTGCCTGACAATCTTCCACAGTCTCCCAGGTGCAGCCCAGTATCTGCACCTCAAACACCCTGCTCCGGATCCCCATTCTCCAGGGGGTCCTGCTCACCCTTCCTCTGAACCCAGGACAGAGCCAGCTAGGCTTCCTCCTGTCTGATACCTTCAGGGGAAAACTCAGAAGTTTTTCTATTTACATCCAAAAAGCCCTTTGTTTTGGGAGGAGATGTGTGAAGACAGACCCATCTCCTTAAAAACCCCCAGCCTCAACCGCACTGCGCGCTCAGCCCTCTCTCTGCCTCTCTGCTGTGCCGCCCGCCTGCCTGCCCAGGTGTACTCTCTCCACTCAACCATGTACCCTGGCTTCCCCCTTCCCAGTCCGAGCAACTGAGCACTCTCTCTCAGGCTCTGTCTGGAGAGGTGCCCATCCGTTCTTACGGATGGCCCTTCCCTAATAAACCTTGCTATTTTACCTCCCACTACTCTGTCTCACGCCTGAATTCTTTCTCGCGTGAAGACAAGAACCCTGCCATTCACCGGTAACAGATCCCTGGTTGCTTAGAGCTGGGGTGGGGGGAGTTTGAGGGTAGGGGTGGGCTTGACAGCTGGAGAGGAGGCGGCTTCTCTTCGGGGTGCTGTGATGTTTGTAGATAAGTCCACGCCATAAAATGCATTGAACTGTACTTTGGGGGGATTGTACTGTGAATTACAGCTCAGTTGGTTGGTAGGCGACAGGGGCATTGAGGGTGGCCGGCTTATGGCTCGGGCCGCTGGCCCCCCGGGGTGGGGCACCCAGGCCCGGGACCCAGTTCCTGGGCCGTGTCCAGGGCCGGAGTTTCAAGGGCAGGCGGCGCCAGGGGGATGCTGGCAGTGCTCACACCCGGACACCGGGCCGCGACCCCCGGGGTCGCTCGCTTGGCCCTGTAACCCTGAGCGCCGCACGCTGACCTTTAACCTTGTCATCGCCGGAATGTCGCTGACCTAGACGAGACCCGCGGGTTTGCCGCGGTCAGGTCCCGTTACTCGTTGGGGCCTGGAGGGGTCCGTCACATCAGACTGGACAGACGGGCAAACGTCCCAACAGAAATGCAGCGGGCGCGACTGAAACCCTCGATTCCCGCCCAGACCCGCCGCTCACTCTCGGGCGCCGCGGGCGGGGGCGGGGCCAGAGCGCCGGGGCGGGGCGGCCCAGGCGGAAGGGGCGGGACCAGAACGGCGGGGCGCAGCGACGTCAGGGCGCGACCCTGCGTGTGGGCGGGGCCCGGGCGTTTGGGCGGGAAGCTGAGGCGCTCCAGGGAAGACTGGAAGGTCTGGGGCGGCCCAGGGAAGACCAGTGGGGTGTGTGGGGAGTGGGGAGGTTGGGAGAGAGCCGGGGGTGGCAAGATGGCCGCGCATCCTGACGGGGGGACGGGTCCTGAGGGAGGGGGGAGGTCCCGAGGCGGGGAGGGGAGGGCCTGAGGGCGGGGTCCTGACGGGGAAGGGTCCTGCCGGTGGGGGAGGGCCTGAGGGCGGGGAGGGGAGGGCCTGAGGGCGGGGTCCTGACGGGGAAGTGTCCTGACAGTGGGGGAGGAGGTCCTGAGCGGGGAGGGGGGGCCTGAGGGCGGGGTCCTGGCGGTGGGGGAGGAGGTCCTGGCGGTGGGGGAGAGGAGGGTCCTGAGCGGGGGGGGGGGGGGGGGGGCTGAGGCGGGGTCCTGACGGGCAAGGGTCCTGGCGGTGGGGGAGGAGATCCTGAGGGGGGGGCTGAGGGCGGGGTCCTGGCGGTGGGGGAGGAGGTCCTGAGTGGGGGGCGGGGGGGGAGCTGAGGGCGGGGTCCTGCCGGGCAAGGGTCCTGGCGGTGGGGGAGGAGGTCCTGAGCGGGGGGCGGGTGGCGGGGGGCTGAGGGCGGGGTCCTGACGGGCAAGGGTCCTGGCGGTGGGGGAGGAGATCCTGAGGGGGGGGCTGAGGGCGGGGTCCTGGCGGTGGGGGAGGAGGTCCTGAGTGGGGAGGGGAGGGCCTGAGGGCGGGGTCCTGACGGGGAAGGGTCCTGGCGGTGGGGGAGGAGGTCCTGAGGGGGGGGGCTGAGGGCGGGGTCCTGGCGGTGGGGGAGGAGGTCCTGAGCGGGGAGGGGGGGCCTGAGGGCGGGGTCCTGGCGGTGGGGGAGAGGAGGGTCCTGAGCGGGGGGGGGGGGCTGAGGGCGGGGTCCTGCCGGGCAAGGGTCCTGGCGGTGGGGGAGGAGGTCCTGAGGGGGGGGGCTGAGGGCGGGGTCCTGGCGGTGGGGAGGAGGTCCTGAGTGGGGGGCGGGGGCGGCTGAGGCGGGGTCCTGCCGGGCAAGGGTCCTGGCGGTGGGGGAGGAGGTCCTGCGGGCCGCCGGGCGGTGCGGGGGCCCGGCCTCCGGGTGAGGCGCCCTCCTGAGCCTGGCGCCGGCTGCCCCCTGCCGGAGGAGCCGTCAGGGCCTGCAGCCCCGGGAGGAGCCGGGAGGGGGAGGGCAGTGGCTGTGCTGTGCCGCCTGGCCCCTGTGTGCGGGCACCCTCCGTGCTCCCGCCGCCACAGGCTCCAACCCCGCAAGGCCCGGCCCGGGCCCCACCCGTCCCGTCCCGGCCCCGCCGATGTCGGTGTGGGCGCCAGGCAGCCTGTTGCACGCCCCGCCGCGCGCTCGTACCTGCCGGCTTGCTCAGAGCCACACTCCCGGCCCTGCACCGCCCGTCTGCCCAGGTCTCTGCTCATTGCACCGACTTCCGGTCTCAGCCGCCCTCTGCCTAAACTGAGCAGACATCCCAGGCCGCCAAATACTGCTGGAGGAGGCCCCGGTCGGGGTCGGTGGCTGCTGCTTTGTCAGTCCCAAGGCTGGCCGGTGCCTCTCAGCCCCCGTAAGCCGCGCAGGTCTTGCAGCTTCCCCGCTTAGCCCCTTGCATCATTTTTGCTGTCTACCCCCACCCCTACCCCCACCCCCGTTTCTGGAGAGGAGTTCCGCAGTCGCTAGGTTCACTCTCACTTCCACTTCCTCCTTGCCTCCCAGGACAGCTGAAGACATGCCGTGGCTTCCCTCGAGGGCACCCTCGTGCATGTTCAGTGTCTCCTGGCTCCTTTCCTCTACTTATCACAAAATTCAGGCTGCTGCCATCTTGAAAAGAGGTTCTGGACTCCGAGCCTTTCTCCGCTCTCCCTGCCCACGGCACACACCACCCCTAAAAGCCCAGCTGGAACTGTCACCTGTTCTCCCCGTTTCCTCATTCCTCTCTCTTTGGTCGGTCTTTCCCACCCACAGTGGGGCTGAAATCACTAACCAAGGTCAGGAACGGCAGGTCAAGGACATTGTTAGTACTTCTCTGGCTTGACCTCTGGCTCCCTTTACACGGAGTGACCTTGCACTCTGCTTTCTGCTTGTCTCTCTCGATGCTCCTTTGCCAGCGTCTCTACCTGTCCTCTCTTTGGGCTTGTTCGTCAGTCTCTTCTCACTGTTCACCCTCCCTCAGCTTCAGTCATCAACTCTTGAATCTTTTCTCTCTTCCCCTGAGTGTCAGGCTCACGCTCAGTGCCTCTTGGACACTCCGCATGGATGTCATGTAAATGTCTTAAAGTCAGTTTGTCCAAAATACAGCTCATTATTTTGCTCCAAAACTGCGCTTCCTTCTCCTGGGCTCACCTCGTAACTTTTTCAGGCCCCGGGCCGTATGTCGGAGTAGTTAAATGCTGTCACTTAAGCTCACTTAAATCACATCCTGTTTTCTTACCCTGACAGTAAGCTTTTGTAACAATCTAGAAGGTTGATATGAATCTAGAATTCATGTACTCCCTGCATTTCTGGCCAGGATGTGGTGCTTGGGAGACCTGGCCTGGCTCCAACCCTCGTTCTGCACCCATTCTCTTCCTATCTGGTCTCAGTCCTGCACCAAGAGGGACTCAGTCCATCTGCTGTAAGCACCCACACCCTTGTGTACAAGCTGTGCTCCTGCCTCCCAAGCTACATTTTCTCCAGTGTTCCTCCTGCGTAGGGTTGGGGCAGAGCTGTGACCAGGGTGATTAAGGAGGTAGGGCCATGCCCAGAGCACAGTGGAGGATACAAGTGGGCCCAGATCCAGGAATTGAAGGTCAGGCTCACCAGGGCAGATGAAGATGAGAGCCTGACTCCATGAAGAAAGTCACAGGGAGTGGGCACGGGGAGGCAGGGGAGGAGGTGGTCAGGTTCTCAGAGGCCTGTAAGGTCCAGGGAGACCAGCAGAGCCCGGCTCTGTGGTCGGAGATTCCCAGAGGTGGCGGCAGGGGTCTGCCGTGGCTGAGCCGGGCTGGTGAGTCTGCTGCCCCAGGACGTGGCACCACCAACACCAGTCAGCGCAGTGGGACAGCAGGCGTTCGAGACGCTCTCGTCATCCCTCGTCCAAGCAGGTGGGGTTTCCACTGTCTTAGTAACGACAGGCTTTCTTTCCACCTGCAGGCCGTACCGTCATCCCCCACCTGGCTGACTGCAGCAGCCTCACTCTAAACTGTGTCCCCTCTCAGTCTTGTCTCGCTTGAATCCATTCTGATGCACAAACGTGATCACTTGCTATGAGAAGCCACTGGTGTGGGCTTATTGGCGTTGGGAGCAAGCCCAGGGTCCTTAGCACGATGTGCCCCTGCTGGCCCCCCGCGTGCGCGAGCTACCACACACATGAGCGTCACATCCCACAGCGCACGCCAGATGTGGTGTGTGCTTGTGTGCTTAATCACACGGAGCGAGGTCTAGGGCTGGCCGGTTGTCAGGCTGCTGCTCCTGGAGTGCTGCTTTCCACCGTCACCCCGGCTGTCTAGGCTCTCCTGTCAGCCTTCCCGTGCTCTCAGCTGGACCCTTCAGGACTGGACAGTCCCAAGGGATCCAAGGATTCCCTTAATCCAACCGAATTGGGTGGTTAGCCCGGGAGTAGGAAACCAAGGGTCTATCTTCTTAAACTGTGGATTTTCTTAAATATTGTACTGCCCTGAGCAGTACAAATATTATTTTTGTTGCAACGTTTAAAATGCAAGGGGACTGTGGTTGTGATCAGTACAGGGAGCTGAAGGTCGGCCCTGGATGGGGAGCAGGGAAGTCAGCAGGGGGTAGGCACAAACCTGAGGGCCTTAGGTGTTCTGTAGAAAGGCGTGGGGTCTCAGAAACATGTCTAGGTAGGAGTAAGGGGCATTCTAGGAACTCGGGGGGCCTCGAGACGCTCTGAGGGTCTCTTTCGGTGGAGTGTTGGAGGCCTGCTATGGAGAGGCAGGCCTGCACCCAGAGCCTGGCAGCAGCAGCTGTGAAGATGGAACGAGGTGACAGGACGGGAGTGTGGAGGAAGGGTGTCCATGTCAAAGCTGTGCAGAGGCGGAGAAGGGTGCGGCACCTGGGAGGCCGTCCCGACCTCTGCCAAGCTGCAGAGGCTTAAACAGGCAAGGGGCCGGAGGGGGGGTGCTCTCCGGAAGGAGGCAGGGCTTCTCGCCTGGTCGTGGGCAGAGGAGAGGGCTAGCTGGGTGGAGAAACGCAGCGCGTGTGACAGGGCAGGCCACGCAGGGCTGGGTAGGCGCCCACGGCTGGAGAAGTCTGCCGCGGGCAGGAGGAAGCACCTGTCTCGGACAGGACGGATGTGAAGGGAACAGCTGACCGTGTTTCCTCACTTGCTCTCGGTCCTGGGGACCCTCATCAGCAGCCGGGGCCAGCCGGACTCTGGTGGCCTTGCTGCTGCCGAGACACTCTCTGATGCTGGCAATGCTGACCGCATGCCTACCGCTTTCCGTTCTGCCAGTGCCTCCCTTGTTTCTGTCCTCCCATTCAGCTGTGTGGCCTCCTGGCTTCTGATGCCCTCTTGGCTCAGTCCCCAGCTCCAGGCCTAGCCAAAGCACTTCACTTAGCAGCTTTTCTGCAAACACCTGCAGCTTCTTTGCCGGTCTCCCGCCTCACCCTGCTCTGTCGCTCTCCCCAGCTCCATCACACACCAACTCCCAAACCGCGGGCTTAAGTCCTGATTTCCCAGCTTCTCAACCTGGCTGGTCACTGTGTCCAGGCTATCCCTAACCGGAGACTAGTCGGGGAAAGGAGGGAGTGCTAATGTGCAGGACAGGAGGATGAGGGTGAGGGAGGGGGGCGAGGGGAGGCTGAAAGGGGTGACGTGTTGGGCCCGCGGCTGGGAGCTTCTCCGTCCGTGGGACGGCTTGGAAGTTCAGTTGAGGGGAGGCTGTGGGCAGGGCTCCTGCTAGCTGGAGAACAGAGGTGGAGCCTGTTTCCCTTGTTTCGTCTCCACGGTCCTGTGTGCTTGCCCTCCTCTCCTGATGGGGCCAGGAAAGCTTCGTTCCTTCCCGCCTGCCCTGCTCTGAGGTCCTGAGATCCCCGCAGACCGGGGCTCTGCCGTCTGGTGCAGCCTCACCCTGCCTCCTCCCCTCCTTGGCCCCGGCTCTTACTGTTGCCCTGGCGGGGGGCAGAGGCTGCCACCGCCTCACCAAGCCCGCTGGTGAATGCGCTGAGGTTGAGGCCACCAGCTTGAGTCTTGATTGCTGACTTGAGCTCGTGGTTCTCCCGAATGAGCCGCACCAGCTTCTTCAGTTCCTCGTTTTCCCTCACCAGCCTCTCTATCTGATGCCGGAGCCCCTCATAATTGGTGAGGAGAGACATGCCCTGGGCCAGCGGGAGGGGTGCGGCCCTCCAGAGGGCACTGCACCTGGAGGCTGCCCAGGGCCCCGGGCCTTGCCCGGGCTGGAAGAGGGCGCCAGAGCCTGCAAGGCTGGCCCAGCGGGCCCTGGCTATTGTGAGGTCAGAGGCTGTGCCCTCCTCTTTGCCCTCTGCCATAACAGGCTTGGCTCTGTGCCTCCAGGCCTGGGCACAGGCCCTGACTGGAGGGAGAATGACCCGACCCCTTCATGTCTGGTGTCTCCTCTGAAGTCTCCCACCACAAGCCTAATCGCTGCCCGCTGGGCTTCCCCAGTGGGCAGCAGACCAGTCGTGTGTCTTGATGCTCATCCTGGTTCCATGCAGCTGAAACCTTAGTAGTATCTGCTTGCTTTCCAGAGGGAACGGGGGTCGTGCCACTCCCCCGAGCCCTGTCCAGCAAAGGCCTGGCCCCGTGTGAGTGAGGAGGCAGAGAGCATTCGCTGAGTGGAATCTCGCCGCCCTCACTCCTAACCCGCGTGCTCCTTCCTTGGACACGCCTCGATTTAGCCTGTTAGCTTTCTAGGGATGCTCTGGACACTGGCCCGTGGCTTCTTTGACCCCAGGTGCCCAGAATCGTCCCCAGGTGCTGACCAGGGGCACTCTTACCCAAGCTCCTGGCTTCCTACAGCTTGGAGTTCCCATTTCTGGTGACTGAGGGTCTCCGATTCCAAATCCTTAGAGGTGCTTCTTACATTCTTGGATCTCTGTTCTGCTCCCTGGATTCCCTGTGTTTAGTCCTTCCAGATCCCAAGATTTCATTCCTTATCTGGTTCCCAGAACTCAGAACTCTGGGTCCTCACGGTACTCCCTTCTCTTAGAGCTATCTACAGAGAACACATGGGCCTGACCTCGAGAGTCGAGTGAAGCCATGTCTTCATGGTCTCCATGGCTCTGTGGGCATACACTCTCAAACCTTCTGTGGGGCAGGGAGAGGGTGGTGAAGTCCAGGTGCAGTCCCGAGGGCAGATCCCTGGGTGGTTCGAGGAAAGGGGAGATCAGCCAGGGCTGGGGTCAGGCTGAGTCCAGCATTCTACCTGCACCTCATAATGGGGGGGCCTGTCCTCACCCCTCCTCTGACACCTTGGACTCTACTCTGGCTGAGTCTCTCTGGCCCTAGGGACCAGAGCCCCTGGGGACCAGGGCTGGGTTTTTTTCAGTCTCCTCTTTATATGGTATATTTGCTGGGCTTTCCTCCAGCAAGTAGAAATATACTTATTGTGTCTCTGCTGGGGCTGATGCCATCTTTGGTGCTGACATTTTGTGTGTCAGTTTTGCCGAGCTGTGGTGCCTAGATACTTGGCCAAACAAGCGTTTAGACCTTGCAGTGAAGGTCTTTTGTAGACTTCGGGTTAAGAACCTTTAATCCTGTGGGTGGACCTCATCCAATCAGTCAATGAATGTAAGAGCAGAAAACCCAGAGATTTCCTGGGGAAGAAGGAATTCTGCCTCCAGATCATAACAGGGAGTGGGCAGGTGGTGCAGCCATTAAGGCCCTGCTTAGGACACCCACATGCTAGGCCAGAGTGCGTGGGTTTGAGTCCCGGCTCCACTTAGGATTCTAGCTTTCTGCTAATGCACACTGCAGGAGGCAGCAGGCCCCTGCCACTCAAGTGTGGGACCAGCTGGAGTTCGGGGCGGAGCAGCCCCAGCCGTTGCAGGCATTTGGGGAGGGAACCAGTGGATAGAGTGAACAAGACAGATGTGTGTGTCTCTGCCTTTCAAAAAAAGTGAAACAAACGTTTGAAAAATGTTTATAACATGGAAATCCTGCCTAAGTTTCCACCGGGCCTACAGACTTCAGACTTGGCAGCTTCTGTAATTGTATGGACCAGTTCCTTAAAATAAACCTTTGTGATTAAAAAGCCCTACCAGTCGGGGTGATGGTCATCTCATCTCCCTGTGTACCAGTGCTTCTTCCCTCCAGAAGTACATGTGTTGAGCGACTGTGTGGCAGGTGTCATGTTGGGACCGGAGGGTTCCGTGCTGGTCACAGGCAGGTGTGTCCCCGCCTCGTCACCCTTGACCGTGAATCAAATCCCACGTGATATCCTGTCTTCCCTGTGGCAAGACGTGGTGCCGGTAGAGGGCGTGGTGCACAGCTGGATGACCTTTGTCAGTCCTCCTTCCTGAGGTGACATCTCAGATGACGTGAGGGAAGGGTCAGGTGCGAGGAGCGCTTGCTGGCAGGGGGAGTGGCTGTGCAGAGGCCGCAGGGGAGTGTGCTCTGCGGGAGGAGCTGAGAAGGAGGGAAGGAGAGGTCTGTGCCGGGAAAGGCTGGAGCCAGGCTTGACCACACCAGTGGCCGTGGGTCCAGGGAAGCCCTTGAAGGGCAGTAGGAAGGGGAGGGAAAAGAGCTGCTGAGTCATGCCTCACGAGGAAGTCACTGGTGTCATCCAGCAGATGGCAAGGGTGGCTTGGATTCAGGTGGTGCCATGCGGGTGGAGAGGGTGGGAAGAGCTGAGCTGTTGAGTGGTGCTGGGTGGGCTAGTCTCAGGGGGTGAGGACAAGCGAGAGGGTGGGAAGAGCTGAGCTGTTGAGTGGTGCTGGGTGGGCTAGTCTCAGGGGTGAGGACAAGGGAGAGGGTGGGAAGAGCTGAGCTGTTGAGTGGTGCTGGGTGGGCTGGTCTCAGGGGTGAGGACAAGGGAGAGGCAGGGGTGGTAGAGCTGCTGGCCATACCAGCCTGAGAGGGGAGAAAGGCAAGTAGAGTGAGGATCCTGAGTCAGTCTGTGCTGTGGAGACTGGCAAGGAAGCAGGCAGTTACTGCTCTGGGTCCCAGAGGACCTGCTGCAGAGAGACGTCTTGGGGTCGTCAAGTTCCAGGTGGTGACTGGAACTGTACGAGGGGGTGAGCTCACCTGGAATCAGTATTGAGACAGTGAGAAAAGGTGCCAGGCCCACTGCGCCTAGAGGAGCCTGGACGAGGCTACAGAAGACACCAACAGAAAGGCCCACAGGGGTCAGTGAGGGCCTGAGGGGGGACCACAGGCGAAGGCTGCTTTCGGCTGCAGAGGGGCGATGGTAGCTAATGAGGCTGAGGTCAGATGAGGACCGAAATGGGTGTCTCAGCTCTGGGGACTTGGACGTCTTAGGTGGCACAGTGAGGAGTGCGTGGACGGTGTGGCTTGGCCACCTCCAGAGGCTGGAGTATGAGAAGTGAGTGGGAGGATGAAGTGGAGCTGGGGCACATGCAGCCCTCCACAGAGGGGGAGTGTGGACAGAGCCAGGGGCAGGTTCTTCCTCTACTGTCCTCTTCCCGCCTTGCAGCTGGTGCCAGCGAATGCTGTGGCCCCCCGCCACCTGACCCTGTGCCTCTGCCACCCCCAGTCTCTCCCGCAGGCCCTGGGTGTGCAGGAGGGCCTTCAAAGGACTCCCAGGCTGCCCCGGGGTGTTGGGCTGCAGCCTTCCCTTTCCTTTATGCTCACCTCAGCCAGGCTTAATCTGCTTTCTGTCTCTTTCTACTTCTTCTTCGCCCCAGTTTTCTTATCATTTTTGTCACATCATATATACAAAATGTCCTTTGGTATCCAAATCTATTGAGTTTAAATTGGATAGAGGGTAGACAAAGTACGGAGAGTGAGAGATTCGTCCACAGATTTATCCACATCAGTTAGGATCATGTGTCTGGAGAGCAGGAGAGAAATGTTGGGCCTGCCTGCATGGTCTTTGTCCAGCTCACCCGAGCCTTGGGAATGGGCCAGGGTTTCACACTGCAGAGGACAGAGCTGCGAAGTGACAGGAACCTCCCGGTGTGAACCAGGGTTTCCATTCCTCCCTGGCTCATCGGGGACTTGCGTCTTGGACTCAGATCCCCTGGTTGTGGGTCACCGGCTTTTGCACACTTTTTCCCCATGTCGCTCAGCGTTCCGGCTTGGCAAGGGCTCCGGGAGTCTCGGTTTCCCTTGTGGCTTGGGATTCTTTGCAGGTTTAGCAAGTTTCCATCTAGCGCCTTCTCTCCAAGGCTTGAGGTTGGTGAAGAACGGGAGCCCTAACTAATCTGGAGTCCTCAGTCCGCACCCCCTGCATCCTCCTACGTGGATAGTCTGGGACGGGCTCCCCTGTGCCAGACCCAATGAGTGTCCCCTCCTGGGAAGGAGCCGCGCGGTACCAGCCGTGTGCCCTGTGGCTATAACCCGGGAGTCGGCCAGCAAGTGGTGTCGCATCCTGTTGCTGACAAAGAGCTCCTGGGAGGTCTTTGTCCGGTGTGGGTTCCCACTGGTTCAGCTGGCACCAGACCCCAGTGCCCGCCTGGGAAATAGTGGCGACACCCCTCCCTCTGCCTCTCTCCTACTCTTCAAAAATGAGAAGGATGACATATATTGAGTGCTTATTGTATGCAGGCACTGTTGTGACTGTCCTAACACCCCCAAGGCTGTAGCACTTCATTCCACAGGTGAAGGCAGCAAGGCACAGCCTGCCAAGTGCCTGGGCTCCCCCGGCCTCAGGTCGCCGTTCTCTCAGTGTAGCAAGGCACCGCCTGCCAAGTGCCTGGGCTCCCCCGGCCTCAGGTCGCCATTCTCTCAATGCTCCCAGCTGCCAGGGTCAGGGCTTGCAGGGAGGCTGGTGCCTGGCCTGCTCTTCCCCCTCTCGCTGCAGCCTCACTCTGTGCACTTGTGAATGGGGGCATCTTTCTGACACCCCACCAGACTTAGGCTGTTCCCAGAGGGAAGACCCAGAGTGACGTCCCAGGAAGACAAAGGCAATGGCGTAGTCTGCTCTTCCTCACAGCCAAGCACAGGCCCTGGCACACAGCAGGTGCTCAATGAAGGTAAGAGTGTGCTGTATTCAGTCTTTCTTTTTTCTTATAAAGATGTACCCTATTTGTTTGAAAGGCAAACTTACAAAGAGAGAGAGAGAGAGAGAGAGAGAGAGAGAGAGAGAGAGTCAGAGAGTCTTCCATCTGCTGGTTCATTTTCTAAATGGCTGCAAAGGCTGAGGTTGGACGAAGCTGAAGCCTTTGGTCTGCCTAGGTCCACCTAGGTCTGCCGCACAGGTAGCAAGGGTCCATATCGCGAGTGATCTCCCGCTGCCTTCCCAGGTGCATTAGCAGGGAGATGGATCTAATGCGGATCAGCAAGGACTTGAGCCGGCGCCCGTGTTGGATGTCAGCATCACAGGCCATGGCTTTACCATTCACCGCAGCACCGGCCCCTCCTCTGTGCTTTTGCTGAACACTGCAGGCCGGTGGCAAGGATGTGGAGGGCTGGGGAGACCCGTGGCCAGGCGGGAGTTGAAAGTCATGAAAGGCAGAGTGGCCAGCTCTGTGTGAGGAGAGCAGGCTGATGCTGGGGTCCCTGGAGGCCTCCGGGGGTTCTAGGCCTTCAGACTGTGGGTCTGGGCTGCTGGAACAGATGACCACAACCCGGCACCTTCAGCAGCAGACACTCACCCCTCGCAGTTCTAGAGGCTAGGAAGCTCGGGATGAAGGCTCTGGCAGATCCAGGGTCTGGGGGCTCTGCTTCCTGGCTCACAGATGGCCACGTTCTTGCGTGTTGGCACGGTCGAGTGCAGAAAGAGAGGAAGCTCGTACCCTGGCGTCTTCCCGTCAGGGCACCACCTCATGACCTGCTCAACCAAGTCGCCCCTCCTCCCGTCACCTGTGGGTAGGATTTCAGTAGTGACTCTGGGTGGGGCGGGCATTCAGTCCACAGCAGATTCCATACCCCAGCCTTAGACCCATGTGGTACCCAGCCCTGTCAGTTAATTCCTGTGCCTTAGACCTCAGTGTGCACGCAGCCTCTCAGGCTCACAGACTGTCAGTCCCCAGCAGACAGCAGTTCGAAGCCCCGCTTGCTGGCCTCTTGCGTGGACCTGGGGCAGGCCCACGGCGTCTCTGCCTCTGTCCCTTCCTTGCTGCGTGTAGTAAGAGATGCTCCTTCTTCCTCCTGTCGTTGGGAAGTAGATGAGGTAGCGCCGGCACCACAGCAAGGCCTGTCTGACAGTGACACTATGAGCACTTTCTCTTCAACCATAGGTATGAAAGCCTGCCAGGTGCCAGGGTGCTGTGGCCCCTGGAGCACTCAGCAGGAAGCACTGGGAGAGCCCCGCTCACGCTCCGGCTCTGTTTGGGAGGCTGGGAGCTGCCCAGTGCAGCCAGGCTGGAGGGTGACAGGGCACGTGGGAACACAGGCCTCCCTGGCCCCATTCCCTGCCCTGGGGACACTCAGAGTTTTAACGGAGGAAAGAAGGGTGCAGAGGTGAGAGGGACCTGGGATGTGACAGGTCCTTGCTCTGCCAGTTATGGTTGGGTAACCAGGGTGCCCTACAGAGTGGGCTCTAATCCTGCACCAGTCCTGATAGTGAGATTCAGTGTGGTGACCATCACAGAACAACCTCGTGAGGTCTGTCCGGAGCACGTGGCCCCCACACTGTGCCTGCAGCTCTTCATCCGGTGACCCTGCAGCATGGCAGGTGGAGGACCTGAGTCAGGTAAGAATCCCTGTTCCACTCCTCTGGAGCACAGGGCTATCTGGTGGGCATCGTGAGGCGTGTGTTGGGTTATCTCATTGGGTCAAGGGACTGCTATGGGCCTGCCACTCTGTGGGATGACAGATGTGGTGGGGTACGTGCTTTGAGGGCAATAAGACCAGGAGAGCAGGGAGAGGGCGCTGTGTGGTGCAGAATGGAAGAAGGTGGGGAATAATGAGGAAGGGCACAGCCTTCCAGACTCAAGGGACAGCCCTGCAAAGGCCTGGGGGCTTGGTGAGTTAAAATTTTAGTTATTTATGAGAGAAAGAGAGGACAGACACAGACGGACAGAGCTTCCACCCTGGGCACTCCCCAAACGCCCACACAGCTGGGGCTGTGCCAGGGCCAAAGCCGGGAGCCAGGAGCTCAATCCAGGTCTCCTGTGTAGGTGGCAGGAACCCAGTTTCTTGAGCCATCACCTCTGCGTCCCAGGCTCTATGCCAATGGGAAGCTGAAGTCAGAGGCCGGAGCTGGGGATTGAACCCAGGCCCTGTGATGTAGGACACGGGCACCCAAACAAGCTGGCTAAACACCCCTCCACTGTCGTGGTTTCAAAACTTTTAAATTTATTTTCATTTTATTTGAGAGGTAGACAGACTAAGAAGTCCTTCACCTACTGACTCACTCCCCAAGTGCCCATAACAACCAGGAGGGGCCAGGCTAAAAGCAGGAGCCCGGACCTCAGTCCACGTCTCCCACATGGGTGACAAGGACCCGACTCCTTGAGCTGATACCTGATGCCTCCCAGAGTCTTCATCAGCAGGGCACAGGGATAGAGAGTGGAGCCGGGACCCAAACCTGAGCCCTCTGGTAGGGAATGTGGGCCTCCCAGTGGCGTCTCAGCAGTGCCAAATGCTCACCCCTACAGTTCTGTGTTCTAACAGTCAGTTCATAAGACTATACGATCATTGAGCCCCAGGACTGCAAAGCAGTAGCCTCCGTTAGTCCCTGATGCCCACTGCCCGCACTTCTGAGGCTCTCGGTGTGTTCCCTGCCTGGCTGTGCCCACTTCCCAGGGTGAAGTCCAGGCCTCCTGTCTCCTCTCCTCCCTTGTTTCTCCACCCCGCCTCCCACAGCTGCCTTGGAATTTACGCCTTTCCAGATGCCACCCCTGCCTGTTCCTCACCCTGTCTCCTTGGAGCTGGGTGTCACGTGAGCCTACCTCACCCTGCTCTGGGAAGCCAGGCTTGACCTGGGGCCTCTGCCTCACCATTGCCAGCCCCACAGTGAAGGGCAGCCCTGGCAGGACCCTTTCTCAGAGGTAGCCTGTCCTGAGTGGACGAGTCAGCCCTGTTCCCACCTCAGCTCAGCCAAACAGGCCTTTCTAAGGTGTTTTCACGAGGGGTCTGTGGGAACACAGGGGGAAGTGGCTGATGGCAGAGCCCCAAGTCTGGAGAGCCTGGCCTTCCACTGGCTGTGTGGGGCTGGGAGGCCGGGGGAAGATGGCCTAAGAGATTGGGCCTCTGTATCCACGTGGGAGACCAGGAAGAAGCTCCTCACTCTTGGCTTTGGCCTGGACCAGCCCAGCCTCTGCAGCCATTTGGGGAGTGAACCAGTAGATGGAAGATCTCTCTCTCCCTCTCCCTCTCCCTCTCCCTCTCCCTCTCCCTCTCCTCTCCCTCTCCCTCTCCCTCTCCCTCTCCCTCCCCCTCCCCCTCCCCCTCCCCCTCCCCCCCCTCCCCCCTCCCCCTCCCCCCTCCCCCCTCCCCCCTCCCCCCTCCCTCTCCCTCTCTCCCCCGGCCCCATCTCTTCCTATCTCTGAAACTCTTTCAAATAAATAATAAGTAAATAAATATTTAAAAAAATAAAAGGCTGGTTAAAGGAAGGAATTAAAGCAGTCAGCTTTAGGGCAATACATGTTTTGAAATGTGAATTTGTTTTTTGTTAAGGTTTATTTTTTTAAGATTTATTTATTTATTTGAAAGGCAGAGGCAGACAGAGACAAAGAGGGAGGGAGAGGGAAAAAGTCTTCCATCCGCTGGTTCACTCCTCAAATGGCCACAACTGCCAGAGCTGGGCCAATCTGAAGCCAGGAGCCAGGAGCTTCTTCCAGGTTTCCCACGTGGGTGCAGGGGCCCAAGGACTTGGGCCATCCTCCACTGCTTTCCAAGTTGCTTTAACGGAGAGCTGGGTTGGGAATGAGGCATGTGGGACTCGAACCAGCACCCGTGTGGGATGCTGACACTGCAAGTGGAGACTTGGCCCACTACACCACATTGCTGGCTCCTGAATTTCTTTTAACATGATTGATATATATGGGAAAAGTTAAGCAGAGAGCAAATTTCACATCTGTGTATAATTTTTCTCTGAGAAGTATTACATGAAAACAGAAAACCAAAGCTCCACCCGGCTGGAAGAACTGCAGACTGGCTGGGACGCTCAGGACACGGCTCAGGTCTGCCAGAGGCCCCAGCTCGGCATGGTCAGCGTGTGTCCAGGGCGCCTCTCCCACCCACACCTGATGTGCATCTTCCACCCACTGCAGGTAGTGCACAGGTCACAACCTTCCACGCACGCTCCCAAAGCAAACTCGGACTTCTCCAGAAAGTCAGTAAACACCAAACATATCGCAGTATTTACATATTCATTTCTCCTTCTCCTTCTCCTTCTCCTTCTCCTTCTTCTTCTCCTCCTTCTCCTCCTCCTCCTCCTTCTCCTCCTTCTCCTCCTTCTCCTCCTCCTGCTCCTGCTCCTCCTGCTCCTCCTCCTCCCCTCCTCCCCCTCCTCCTCCCTCCCTCCCCCTCCTCCGACAGGCAGAATGGACAGTGAGAGAGAGAGAGACAGAGAGAAAGGTCTTTCTTCCATTGGTTCACCCCCCAAATGGCTGCTACGGCTGGCGCTGCGCTGATCCGAAGCCAGGAGCCAGGTGCTTCCTCCTGGTCTCCCATGGGGTGCAGGGCCCAAGCACTTGGGCCATCCTCCACTGCACTCCCTGGCCATAACAGAGAGCTGGCCTGGAAGAGGAGCAACCGGGACAGAATCCAGCGCCCCAACCGGGACTAGAACCCGGTGTGCCGGCGCCGCAGGTGGAGGATTAGCCAATGAGCCGCAGCGCCGGCCACGTATTTGTTTCTTAACCATTAAGCATTTGTAAAACTGCATTTTTGATAAGTTTCTGTCACCTTAAATTTTTTTTTTTAATTTATCTATTTGTTTGAAAGGCAGGATGGTAAAGAGGACGGAGGGAGGGAGTGAGAAATGTCTTCTATCCACTCCCCAAGTGGCTGCAAAGGCCAAGGCTGGGCCAGGTTGAAGCCAGGGGCCTAGAATTCCACCTGCGTCTCCCACATGGGTGGCAGAGGTCCACATACTCCACCGTCTCCTGCTGCTTTCCCAGGCATATTCGCAGGGAGCTGAACTGGAAGTAGAGCAGCTGGGACTCAAACTGGCACTCATATGGGATGCCAGTGTCTCAGGCCATGAAAATTCATTATTCTTAAAACTGTGGTAAGATACACAGAACATAAAATTTACCATCTCAGCCGTGTTTAAGTGTATAGTACAGCAGTAGTAAATAGGTTCACGGTGTTGTGCAGACATCACCACTGTCCGTCTCCAGGACTCTGCATTCTGTGGAACAAACTCTGTCCCCATTAAACATCAGTGCCTCACTTCCCCATCGTCTCCAACGAGCACGGCACTTCCTGTGCTAAGGGCCCACGGACGCGGAATGCCACAGTGCTCACGCTCTCGTGTTTGGCTGATCCCACTCAAAGTCCTTCCTTTTTAAGGGTGACTGTTCTGTTGCATGTAATGCTGCCTTTTGCTTTGCTTCGTCTCTTGCTGGGCACTTCAGTTGTTCACGTTCTAGCTGTCCCCTCCCCCTGCCTTCTGTGTTTGTTTGAAAGGCAAAGAGACAGAGACAGGCAGGGATCCCCCATGCATTGGTCCCCTTCCAAATGCCTGCAACAGCTAGGGCTGAGGCAGGCGGAGCCGAGCCAGGAGCTCCGTCTGGGTCTCCCGTGTGGTGGCCGGGGCCCGGGGACCTCAGCCATCACCTGCTGCACGTCAGGAAGAAGTTGCATTGGAAGTGGCATTTCCAGGACTGGAACCAAGCACTCTGGTGCACAGCTGTGCCTAGCGGTGACTCGGCGTCTGCACCAGACGTCTGCCCCAGCCTTGTGGTTTTTCTGGTGCTGGTTGACGCCGGCTGCTCCTGCTTCCTGGCCCTCTGTGCTTGTTGGACTTCCCCAGCTACGAAATGGTGCTCATAATCCTGCCATCCCACTGCCCGTTTCTCTGTCTGTCCGACAGCATGTGTCCAAAGCTGCGCAGTGTGGGTAGGATGGCATAGTGCTGTTCCTGCCCAGCTGCCCTGAGTGCGAGGGCTGTGGAGGTGGCTGAGCAGGGCGGTGGGGGAGAGGGGACAGCTGGCAAGGCAAGGGCGGGGGCCTCTGGCTGAGAGCTGGGGATGGGCGGCAGAGCAGCGGCCCTGAGGCAGGCTGCGAGGAGGAACCACAGAGCACAGCAGTGAGGCCCGCACATGGACCCTGCACAGGACGTGTGCACAGCCGGCTGGGCCGGGGGTCTCTGGGAGGTGGGCATGTGGGCAGGAAGTGCTCTGTAGGACCCAGCTGCTGTCTGACTTTGTGCGCGTGAGGGTGGGAAGAGCAAGTGCTGTGAGTTGAGGACAGTGCAGAGGGAGTGAAGCAGAATTGATAGCAGGGCTGCCTGGTCATGCCAAGGACACCAGGCCACCCTGCCCTGTGACCGTTCTCCCAGCCTCACACCTCAGGAAAGGGCACAAAAGCCCAGTCGGAGGAGGGCTAGGAAGTCCCCAGGCCATGTGACATGGCGGGGTTTCGGGGGAAGGCAGAGCCCTAGGGATGGCTGGGGCGGCGGATGCATCAGAGTTCTGAGGAGATTGGCGGGGGCACTGGGGCTTTGCCCTGGTGGGACTGGAGGAGCAGGGCTGAGGAGGGCGGGGGAAGGGGGTGCCCCGATGCTGAGATGTCTTTCAG